GGCTTTTTCTAGACTTTTCTCTTATTTCTTTTGGTCAAAAATTGTGGCTAATTTAACAGATATTTTAGGGTTAATTAACTGAAATACAAGCAAGGCTATTAAGGTAATAAGGTAGTGTTCAAGTGTTGCACTCACTCGGTAACAAATGGTACCCGTCGGTTCCAACCGTTTTTCCTTAACTCGCACGTACTAAGGTTTTCACTTATAATTCGCTAACTTATTATTATGACTTCTAATCACACACTTTTTCTTATCTAAAACTTACTCTTAATCACCAAATTTAGTACACACTCCGCATGGATTACTCACACTACGAAAAGACGTAAAAATCCTAGTTTACCTTAACGATGAAAGTAAAGGGGAAACCCTTGGTTCTATGATTAATTGTAACTACCGGGGAAGTGAATGAGTAGTAAAGCTATTGTAAAGTAATAAATTCCAAATTAAAGAAAATTTTTTAAAAAAATATATAAGGGATTTTACAAGTCCTCACATAAAGTAATTCTGCTACTGAAGTTGGATTTTTGAATGTTATGGTTTTTAGAAACCAATTGTGAAGGATTAATTACATGGATTTTTTTTTTTAAATGGTAGGTCTCGAAAAAGGGTTTACTGCTGGCAATTGGGCTAGTTCATATAGTGATTCCTTAGAATGATAATGAATGTATTTGGATAGGTTGGAGATTGTTTAAAAATATTATTTGAAATAATATTGCAGCATTTATTTTTTAATAATGTGATGCATGTGAAATAAAAAAGATAGTTAGGAATATAAAAAATAATTAAAAACTGTGTTTGTAGCATCAAAATTTTTTTTTGTGCAAATAAAATCTGTATCCAAATAGGCCCAATGTTAGAGGAAGATCCTTTATATTTGAGGAACAATTCAGACATGCCTTTATTATTTCTTTTAATTTGAAATCATCATCTAGAAAGTTGATAATAATCTAAAGATTAATGGAATACATCTTTTAATGGACTCAGTACTTTATATGCTTATTTTATACACTCTGAAAAATAGTCACAGACACAGCACCCAACAATAAATGAAATGAGTGATTGCGTCTTTTTAAGGGCTAATTTTTGCCATTGTTAGGTCAAATGATCCGTAAGTTTATGAGATCAGGCAAGTTTTGGTTCACCACAAAAGAGGAATATTTTATTTCAATGTTAACATAAATATAAAAAGATATTCAAATATAGTAAAGAACTGACTTCACGATAGATTGGATTACCTTGAATTAGTCAATGGTTTATCGTCAAAATGAAATAGTCAACGTTCTCTAAATATGAAATCTCTATGTTTGATGCTTTGAAATGAGAAAACCCAAATTCGATTTGGTTAATCGGTTCGTGGCACTGAGCAAACGAACTAGAAAACAGGCAGCTGAACCTATTTCACAAGAATCAATTCGTCGTTGAAATGGAATAATACAATATAGGAAGCTCTTTTATCCACAATCGAATTTCAACCAGTATTCCTGACCAATCTCTAATTCCTTTATTTGATTTTGTTCATTTTTTCTATAACCTATCCTCCGCCTTTCATGTATAATAATTTGATCAAGTATCGGTTACCAAGTAATTGGACATGATTCAGCTCACCCACTCATTTAGCATGACGTTCATAACAAAGTCCTAATGTCCGAGCTACACCTTAAATAGGTGCACAAGTTGGCTAGAAAAGGTATATATAAATAAACAAACTGAATTGGACATCACGAAATTCTAGGAGGTTCATTCTAAGAAAAAAGGGGGAGATAGCACATATTTGTAGTCAAATTATGATGACAAGAAAGAAACAACTTTAAGTCATTAGGAGACTCTGGTCCTTTTAGTCTTCATATTCTGTTGGCTATTGATTATTGATGATTAGATCCATTTTCCGTTACTGGGTTAGAATTGCTCTTCCCACTTAGTCGGTTGATGGTCCATCATGGCCTTCATGAACGGCAGGTAGATGATAGAATTTCGACCACTGAAAAACTAAACTTGCCCCCCAAAGAAATATTCCATTTACCTTCACGCTCTTAACATTCCAGACAAATTTTTCTGGTTTTCCTACTTAAGAACTCAGACGGGAAAAAAGGGCTTAGAACTTTTGTAATGGCTGCAAATCTCGAATCCCAAATTTTCGAGCCCAAAATTAGGTTTCAAAAGGGGTAAAATCAGGTTTCAAGAAGGGGATTGGCTGTTAGCATCTTTCATATCTCATGCTTCAAATGTGTATTTCGAGGACACTTGAATTATGGTTGGGATGTAGGTTGTTTGAAGGGCTTTTTGCCGATTGATTTGGTAAATACCATATCAAAGCTACGTTTAGATCTTGATCAAGAGGATAAAATGGTTTGGCTACCGTCTTCTATAGGAGAGTTTTCCATCACTTCTGCGTGGAGTGCCTTGCGGCCAAGGAAGGATCCAACCGTGATTCATCAGATTGTTTGGTGTCCAATCCTCTCGCTAAAGCTGTCTTTCTTTGCTTGGTGATTGGTTAGTAATTATCTTCTTATGGAGTTGAATCTAAGAAGGTTTGAGGTACGCTTGGCATCTAAATGTCGGTGCTATAACTTGGAAACAGAGGGGTGTTCGCATCTTTTTTTGTCCTGCCCTATTGGTCGACAGGTATGGGAGCATTTTGGAAAATGTCTGACTTGTACGATTTAAGCTTCAACACTGTCTCTGCTATGTTTCAGGCCTGGTTGTTATCCGTTCCAGGGTCCAGTAACGTTCATATTCGGATGGCAATACCCGTAATTATTGGCTGGTTCTTGTGGAAGGCTAGGAACCATGCATATTTTCAAAACATTAAAGTGGTTGTTACGCAGATTATTATGCAAATTGATAGTTTTTTGCATCAGTTAGGCATTGTTGGAATTCTTCACCAGCAATTTTTCGTGAGGAGGTAGATTGTAAGTTCAAAGACTACGCTCCCTGAAGACAAAAGAGGGTCTACTATGTGGTAATTTGTTGGACAAAGCCTCCCCTCGACTATCTTAAACTTAATACATATGCTAGTGTGCATAATGGAAAGGACTTTGGAGGCGGGATTTTGAGGAGTCATGAAGGTACTTTGATAGCTGCTTTTTACAAAGAATTTGGCGAGTTTGATGTCTTGGAAGCGAAGGGATTGTCTTTGCTTTATGGTCTCCAACTCTGTGCTCAGCGAGAGGTTGGCAACCTACTAGTCGAAGTGGATTAAAAAACATTGGTGACCTTAGTTAATTCACCTGCTATAGGTCGATGGCCGCTCTGTGATTACATTCATCAGATCAGTTGGCACCTGCTCTTCTTGTCAGCGTCACTTACACATGTGTTTCGGGAAGCAAATCCAGTGGCAGAAGCACTAGCAAGCTTGCAACTCGATACAGACAGGGTATTTACTACAATTTGGCAATTTCCAGATAGGGTCCGATCCCTAGTATATTTACTACAATATGTATGAAAGTGTGTGAGGAGAAAGATTGTGTGCGTGAGAGAGAGAGAGAGTGTGTGTGTGTGTGTGAGAGAGAGAGAGAGAGAGTGTGTGTGTGTATATGTATATTTATGAAAGTGTGCGAGGAGAAAGAGAGTGTGGGTGTGTGCATGAAAATATATCATTATGTGAAATTAAAATAATTTTGAATGAGTAGTATTATCTCACTGGTTTAAACATTCAGCAAATTAAGTTATCTACCTGTCGGTTAAAATTTTATAAAGAAATTAAGTGGGTCTTAATTATTAGGGATAAGAAAATTTTGTTATCAAACAAACTTAATAGAAAAATCAATTAATGTTTAAGTACTTAATGGATTTATCAAAAAATCTGGTCTCAATATTAATAAATTTAAAATTACTGGCCCTGACTTTGGATCATGTGAATCCAACTTAGTCCTTTCCTATTGATATGCTAAGGAAAACCACGAATCTTTCCCTAAGATTGAGTCTAAAACTAAAGAACAAACGTTGTCCAAGGAATATAGTTCAAATTCAATAGTATGAAAATGAATAACTAAACAAAATTTTCAAGAAATAACAAAGAAAAAGAAGAAAACTAGGAGGTTGCCTACATAAAATTCATCCATATGGTAGCATTAATAAAAGTAATACAATTAAAGGGAAAAGATTTTAGATCCCAAGGTTGTAGATAAAATAAAAATTGAGTAGAAAAGAAGTGCAATATGCCAAAGTCCAAAGATGAGGACAACCTCTATGGAAAAGTATTAAATTAAAAATAATAGGTTGCAGAAGGAGGCGTAAGACTGTAGGAGTTGATGGATATTAACATATTTGTTTCTTGCATCCTCCTCCCGGGGGGGAGGGGCGGCGCCCTTTTTCCTTAGATTAGAAGCCATGACAGAAAAACCGTTGAAAGAAAGTAAAGGGAAAAAAATTAAAAGATGATCGCAGGCCAAGAAAATAAGGAGCACATTGATGTCGTAATAAAACTTTTTCTTTTAATTTTCTGGGGTCCACTTTTAGCCCAATTCGTGGGACAGGTGGGATGAAAATCCATAATAGAGGATTCTAGAAAATGTAAAAGGAAAAAGAATTTTGATTGATTAGGAGTGATATATTATCGCAGTTGAAGTGAAATAGGTAAATAAAAAAAAGATCAAACAATATGTCAAATTTACGCTTTCTTGCTCTTTGGCAGCAGAATCAGTGCCAAAATTTTAGGAGGATACAACTTTATACTGTAATCTAATATTTTGTCAAGAGGGAAGACAAGAAAATGAGCCAAGACTAGCATTGGACCAATACACCTACAATGTTTCTTTTTTTCTCTCTCTTTCCTTGGAGATTGATTTATGTTGCCTTTCTTACTTTCATTGCTGTTAAATAGCTATTTGCAGAAATGATTGTTTCTTTTCCGTGAAATGAATTCATTAGCAAAGTTGAGATACATATATATAGAAATTCACCATAATTAGATTGTGTAAACATTCTCTTGCAGCTCAAGCCTAAGATTTGGTTCACTATATATATACAAGGATTTCCGCAGCCTATATTCTCTTGTGCCTCATTCGTAGTCTCCCTAGAGCCCTTGAAAACTCTTCTTTCAAGGGTTCTTCCAGAACTTCCGGGCATCCCACCATGAAGTACTCCTTCAACCTTCTTCGTAAGGTAATAAATAAGATTCAATCTTCTAAATTTTACGTGACTTAATGTTGTTTAAAAATGGTTTTAATTGGATGTGCTCGTTATTGAATCGATGCTTTTTTTTTTCTGTTCACATAAATTGTTTAGTTTTCAAAAAAACGAAGTTTGTCTTTTTTGTTTGTTTGTTGAATTTGATGGCAATTGCCATCACTCAAAATATTTATAAGCAGCACATAATAATTTGAATTCAACTTGAAATTATGCTGAACTTTATGATTAGAAACTTTGGCACAATAACTGTAGTTTCGTCAAAAATCTACCCTTATCTTTGTTTTCCTTTTGTGAAATCCACCCTTGTCATCAATGAATAAAGTTGGATCTGTAATAAATTGAGGTAGTTGGCTCGGTAAATGAGAAAAATTAATTTTCTTGTTCAAATTTCCTTGTTTTTCTTTTTACTTTCCAATAACAAATTAAACTATAAATTTTTTTCCAGTTGCAATAGTGAATAATCTTTGTTGATCCGTCCCAAAATCTTTGATCATCCTTTTTCCCCTTTTATTGGTGCATGATCCCCCATTGAAGTGTGCAAAAAAGTTCTCAAGCAAAATAAGGATGGCCAAGTCTTGCGCAAGCAAGAACCATAAGGCAAAAGCAGCACCGCCATCGCCTCCGCCGACACCTCGGGCTGCTCCACCGTCTCCATCACATGAAGAAGAGGTTCACGTTCAGGTTCAGATTCACCATGGGGAACATGAACTGTGCAGGGGAGGAGACTGCAATTGCCTCGGTGAATTTGTTGGCAAACTGTGGACAATCCCAGGAATGAAAAGTGTTGGTGTTTTCAACGTGGCAAAGCCAGGAGATCGTATTGACGTGGAAGAATTATTTGACAAAATAGAGAAAATTCCAGAACTGGAAAGTATTGAAGTGGTTAGCATGGGGAATTCGGGAGACCATATGGATGATGAGCGGATGCTGCTTCCACCGTCCATGCCTCTAGTTGCTCCACCATCTCTGGTATCACCTCCACCAAGTAAAGAAGACGATCAGCCAGAGGATGGACCGGTCGACTGTGATCGCCTCGGAGAATTTATTGACAAACTGTGGACAATTCCAGGGATGCACAACATCGAAACTTTCAATCTGGATAAATCGGGTTTCCAGATTCGTGGTTAATGACCTATGTGTGGTGGCTACTTATGAGAACCCTATTTTCTTTATTGATTGGTTTTTCGCATTCTTTTGGTAATAATTTTACTGGTGGATGATTTCTTCGTGGGAAGTTGATTTGCTTTCTTAGGTACTACGTATCACGTTATTGTTTTCTTGGATGAGAATGCAATAAGAGTTTTTACTCACTTTCTTTGGATTTCCTGATGGTGGTTTTCTTAAAGTAAATTGATTACTACTTACCTTAATTTTTTCTTGCTTGAAAATGCAATTAGGGTTTTTATCTACTTTATTTGGATTGTAATGTTTGTTGTTTTATAGCACTTATTGTTGCCATATTAGAATGTTATGGGTCTTTGTTTTCACACATTATGTTTGTTTCGTATAACGATTATACCGATTAGCACTTTCAAAATGATTTAAAATATGTCAGGAAAAAAAAGATGATTGTAAATACATATCTTGCCCTCCACCAAACATCACCAAGAAAAAAAAAACCACTGTCTTGTTTTTTAATCAATAAAATAACATAAGTAACCTAAGAATTTTTTTGGGTTCATTTTTGGCTAGGAATATCTTTTCCTTATGAAGGCCAATTTTACCTCATTTTGTCGTTTGTCCATGTTTTTTTAATCGTATACTGAGATTTGTAGCGTAGAATGTAAGGATGGGAAGTGTCTAGGAAATGCCTTATTAGTATTTTTCCTTTGACTACCTGCTGGCTAATTAAACTTCTTTTTTTTTTCTGATTTTAAATTGTAAATCTTGTCCCTTGCTAAAGTTAACTTTTGTTAGTTAAATTATTTCCCATTTCAATTTCGGTCTCAGTTCTTTCGCTTCATAGACGTTATATCATCATGGTGAATTCTTTTTCATGATGGTATATTTTTTCCTTCACTGGGACAACACACCTTGGGAATGAAAAAATGACACAAGTAGACTAGTTATACGTATATTTTACACAAATCCTACTTAGGTTATTCAAACTTGATTAAAATCGTATTTAAAGGTGGTAATTTTTGACACGTGCAAATAGGACACAAACATGAACTAAAAAATTAAACAAAATATGGTAAAGAACAATTTGTATAAAAAATAGGTCAAAACAAACACGATACACAAATAAAATGAGTTGTAATGGATCAATCCATGGGTTGACATGACTAATTTGTTACTAACATGTTAAAATATTTTTTTAAAAAAATGATACTCGTATTTCCTTCTAAAACTACACCAAAAAAATAGATAGTTTCATTTGTAAATTTAAAGTTTAAGAACTAAAATAATAAAATTAACCAGGTTTATATAGTATTTTTATAGCATTATTGAAAATCCAAACTGCACAAATCCACGTATACAACTTTTGTGATTTTAATTTTTTGCTTTTTGCTTTCATTCTTCTTTTGTCAAATTCATGAATATACGCAATCTCTATGATTTTAAATATTTAATTCCCGCCTTCATCCTTCGTCCGCAAATTGCCGAGAACTTTCCTTTAGATCAATTATTTCTTATCTATTCTTCTTTCTTTTGTGATTAAAAATTCTTTTCTAGGCTAATTTAGTACTCTCAACTCATTTTTTTGGAGATATTCTTACATATACTATTCTTCCCTTGCATGATTTTGCCTATTCAATTCTTTGAAAGTTTTTCTTTCTTTGTGAAATAAAAACAAAATTAACTCTTTTTTTGTATTTTTAATGAGGTGATAATGCATTCAAAACTCATATAGGTTATTTAATGAAAAGTTACAACTGAAAAGATGAAAAGAAGAACATATTTTTTTTAAAAAGAGACTCATGTTTTACTCTTTACATATAGTGATTTTTATGCAAAATATTAAATGGGTCAAACTGGCTTAAAACACAAAATGACACTCCAATAAGCAGATTTTAATATGAATACGACACGAAAATCAAATATGGCATATATATAAAAGTTTGGACTCGTTTAACATGAACATGGTTATAACAGGGCGTGAACAAGACCCAACATGAGTCTGAGTAACTTGGTTCATTTAAACATCTACTCACTATTATACACGAGGAGCCAAGAGCAAGCGTGTGGCAAAGAAATTAGATATTATTTATTATACAGCTTCCTAAAAAGTTGTAGTCCAAAAAAATTAAAGTGTTTTTTCTAACAGGTGTGCATAATGCACTCATTAATATACATAACATTCATCTAATCAATTATGTATATACATATACTAATAATTATTATCCTCCCCAACTTTTATTTACTTTCCCTCTTTAATCTTATCAACCCTATCTTGCATTTATTTACTTTTTTAAATTAATCTTATATTTTAAAAAATATGATACCTGAAAATAGGGGTGGCAATCGGGTCGAGTTCGTTCGGGTTGACGGGTCAGGTTGAGACCCGGGTATAACAGAAAACCTGCTGACTCGAACCTGACCCGCCAACCCGAAACGGGTTAGGATACCTGACACGAACCCGAAAATTTCGGGTTGGCAGGTCGACCCGAAATGACCCGAAACTTAATTTTATTTTATTAATTTATCACTCTAATTTCTAATAAAATCAATTTCTCACAAAATTAATTACATAATCAAGTAATAAAAATTTAAATAAATAATTCCAAACCAAATCTAAAATAAATTAAACGCCATAAAAGTGTTTTATCCCAAACCAACTATAAAATAAATTAAAACAGTATATAGGTAAAAAAATAATATAATATATTATTTGTCCAAATATAATTATTTCAACTTCACACAAGTTAAATAAATTCATTTAGAATTAAGTAATTAATGCCTTTGAAAAAAAAGAATAACTTAGTTTAGTTAGATAAAATAATTTTTATGTTTATTAAATTATTTTTAATTCGTAAACAGGTCATATCGGGTCATATTAGGTCACCCATGGGTTGACCCGAAATCGACCTGTTTTCTTTTCGGGTTCGACCCGATTCTGACCCGAACTCTCGAAACTTCAACCCAAACCCATTATTTTCGTGTTAGATTCGTGTGGTGTTTTCGGGTTGCATCGGAAATTGCCACCTCTACCTGAAAATATATCTTAACAATTGCCCATGGGGCACCCATTGGACAAACCCAAAATTAGATAAAATCCTCAAAAATTGTAAATGTTAAAAACACGAAGTACGAGCTTCAAATTTTCTGTTTGAACTGCTTATCTACATGGATGTCATATTAGTTGTATAATAGTACACACATAAAATATTATTCTACTATTATACAAGCTTATAGTGCAGGTTTAGATAAACCTCTAGTAATCACAATTACTACTCCCCATGTTGGCACTGTAATTGTTGAATTGACACCCAAGAGATTTTGGACTTGATAATGCTCTACAAAATTAAATAAAGGTCCCTACACGAAGAATAAGTTTACACGAAGAATAAAGGTCCCTACAAAAATTAAATAAGGTCATTATATTTTTAAAGTGACTTGTTTCAAAAATTAATTTTCGAGAGCGCGTTTAGTGAGAACAGTGAATAGTGCTTGGAAATTTTACCCGATTGAGAGTACAATAGGCTAGGAATATTAAAGACTTATACAATGGACCTAAATTAGGTATTTTAACGATTAAATACTCAAGTGATAGTTATTAGTATTATCGTTATAAGGATTTCTTGGAAGTTTCGCGTTATCGCGCTTAAATTGGTGGTACGCGTTTTAACACACGCAATTTTAATTGAGGGACTTTAGACCCTTATTTTGTGACGAATAAGAGTGAATAATATTTACATGAATATAAGTGCATTAGAGGTTTAGTGCACTAATGAAACAAATGCGAGAGAAATTGAGCCCAAACGCACCCTACGCGTACTATTGAGAGTTGACTTTTGCTCCGTTTTACACCACACAAATGAAACTTCTCTTGGAAGCTAAAATTGAATCAACTCTCTCTCTCTTCCTCACTAGAGCAGCCGGCCAAAGGGGAGCAAAGAATAACACCCAAGTTCTTCCATTTTCTTCTTCATTTCCCGCACCAAACTTGCACCATTTCACATCAAATTTTCACCACACTTAGCTTGTTACTTGGAGAGTTCATCTAGCTATCAAAGGAGCTCACTTTCCACGGTTTTCTTGGAGCTTCAAGGGACCGAAATTCTGCTCTTGTACACCCACCAAAGTAGGTAATGATCCAAAACTCTAATTTTGGCCTATGGAGGTTGTTTTACACTTAGGAGTTTAGATATTCATGTGGGTGGCTTGTTATTGTTGGAAAATTTTGAATGTGGGCTCTATGAACTCTCACTCTTGTGTTGATAGCTGATTTGGTGCTTAATGATGGATTTAATATTGGTTTAGTGCTCAAAATGGTAGATTAATAGTGCATAGCTAGTATAAACTTCAAGGAGTGCATGAAAGAAAAAGTTCCAATTCTGCCCCTGTTTTGATCGTGCCCCTTTTTGTGAAATTTTGAGGGTTTAATGACTTGTATATGATGTTTATATATTGTATGGATAGTGTACAAAATTTCATGGAAAAATATTGAGGTTTGGTTGGTCAAAGGAATTATTTTCGTGAAGCTAGTAAACCTGGAAACTGTTCCCGTAATGCTCAGACCAGCTTTCTTGTTTTGTCCATAACTCTATGCTCCAATGTCGAAATTGAGTGCCATAAGTGGCATTTGAAACTAGACATTCCCAGATTTCCAACGGTATAAAATGAACGTTCTGGTTCCATGTGTGTGAGCCGAACCAACCATTTAAAGTTGGTTGTTCTGTTTCTCTGTTTTCCTGGAATGAAATGCTAAAGCTGCGACTTGAGCTTGAATTCGAGCTAGTTGTGTGCTGAATTTCAAAATAATTTCTTCTGTGAAATTATATCTCTATGGATCTATTTTCTAACGCCATAAACTATGCTCAATTCTGAGTTAAATTGAGTGAGTTGTGATCAAAATATGGAACCTGCCTGCTCTTGAAAACCCTTACTTTTGGACAGAATTGATACAAGGCTTGGTGTAGACTTGCTAATTGAATTTCTTGGTGTTAATCACCCAAAAATGTTGTTTTGGGATGCCCTTAGACCTTTTCTATGTAAATGGACCATGGTTGAGGTACCCTCTAGGTTAAACATTTTGAAAACGGCAAAACGGAACTTACAAGGCAAATTGCCTTGGAAACTTTGAAACTTTGGTGATTTAGTTCACCAACTTCCCGTGCATATTTATTCATGAAATTTGGTAGAGGAGTAACCCTC